CAATGGTGTACAGGTTGGAAGTTCTTGTGCAGGTCAATAATACCTTCCCAAACCTGTCCAGCACACAACATTGTTTAGCTATAAACTTCACTTCCATGCCACTATCACAAAACTGTCCAATGCTTAGTAGATTATGCTTCAGTCCTTTCACGTATGAGACAGCCTTTATGGTGACACTTGCACAGATGACATCCCCATATCCTAGGATTGGAGAGGCCGCGTTGTTTCCAAATCTCACATTTCCTCCGTAGCATTTGGTGTAATTGCTCAACAGCTCTTTTATTCCGGTCATGTGGGTTGAGCAGCCTGAATCTAAGTGCCACACATGACCGTCCTGCAAAACAGATTAAGGACTTTTAGGTACCCACCGCAGGATGGGTCCTTCCTTATCAATTGAGAATATCTTTTTGAATTTTTCTTTCAGCTTTGATCCAAGGTCAGCAGCCTTTTCAGACAGTGGTTTTTGTCTTTCGATCTCAGCTTTTGGTATCCATTTTTGTTTGATTTTAGGAGCAGAGAAGACAGAGTCATTGTTTCTGTGTGTGAACGACTGGTTCGTGAGATAAGGTTTTAAAATTGCTTCCTTAGAGAGTCTTTGTAGGTGTTTCTTTGAATGAACTTTAAGAGGATATTTCAAATTTTGAAAATTATAAATACCCTCTACCGCTCTATTCTCAGATTGTTTCTTTTGTTTGTGCTCTTTCTGTTTTCTCTCACGAACAGAATTCACAACACATTTATGATCAGAATCATTAAAACATGCATTTCCTAACTTAGGAGCATACGACTTCTTATTGAAATAAAATGGATCAGAAGTGAAATTAGATTCATTCAGCTCGAGACACGAGACTGAAGTAGAACTACAAGACTGTGACATAGAAGTAGATCTACGCTTATTTGAATAGAAAACAACATTTGAACATGACTTTTTATTTTCGAAAAACATCTTCTTCTTCCCTTCAGCTATTTCTTCTCTCTTCTTTCTCCACTCACGTCTCCTCTCCAATCTCTTACTTACTTCATTCCCTGTTTTCAAAGGAGACTTGGAGTGAGTGGGTGGTTTTTGGAAAAATTCAGAGTTGTTCAAATTTCGTTGAGAAGGATCAGTATCACTAGATGATTGAGAAGTTGTGTTGGATCGAGAACCTTCTTTCAAAAGAGTTAGTTCATTTAACAACCGATCCCTTTCACTTTCAAAGCTTTTTCTTTCTTCTTCAAAGCCTTTTCTTTGTTCTTCTAAAGTAATGTGAAGTTTTTCAAATTTTCTTATCAGTGGAGGGATATAGGGTTCTTCTTCCTTTTCTGAATTAGAGGTTGAAGGAGGTTCTGGATCTGACACAACTTCTGTCTCAGAAAGATAAGGACTAACACTCTCATCATGTGAAAAAATAGGTTCTTTTGTGGCATAGCTTTCGTTTAAAGAGTCATAACTGAACGGAACTTCAGCTTTAGAAGGATTTGATCTCTTTGTCTCTTCTTCTTCAGCAGTTTCTTTTGCTCCGACAAATAGCATCAACTTGGTCAATCCCAAACCCATGTAATTGATATCATAAAGCTGACGGCAATTGATCTTTTTCAAATTACGGGGGTTTGTGATGCCAAGACCTTCTTTAGAGTTATAGAAACGAGTGTCCTTGTTTTGATTTAGAAAAATTGTTTGTTCTGACTGTCCTCTTTTGGCAATTAAATCTTCTAATTCTTTGATTTTTTTGTAAAGAATGCTGACTCTATTTAATAGCATCTCCTTTCTAGTTGTCTCACAATTTCGTTCTGCTTCTGATTCACTTAACTGTCTAGTGAGTTCAGCGACTTTCTGTGTAAGTATTTCTACTTCGGAATTTCGCTTTTTCACCATATCCTTTTCATTATCCAGTTGTATGCTTAAGGAAGTGATTCTGTCAAGCTTTGTGAGTAGATTCTTGTAATTATGATCTAACCTGTCTTTTAACTCCTTTATGGTGTTATCCTTTTCTTGAAAAGAATGAACTTTGCATGTGCAAGAGCAAGACGGTTTAGGAGTACTTACAGTGTGATTGGAGCTTGAACTTCCACCGGGGATCGCAACATCACCTTTTTCTTCTTCTTCCTTCTCAACAATGGCCATTAGGGCTAAGTTTTCTCCTTCTTCATCGTCAGAACTCTCTTCCTGCCATGGATCTCCCTCAGTGAGTGTTGCAGCACTATCATCGTCTTGCTTGGCCATGAACATCTTCTGTTTGTTCCATAGCATCTTCTGCTTGTAATAGTTAAAGTCCCTCTTCCTTGGCAAGCGGCAGTCTTTGATGACATGTCCAGCTTTTCCACAATTGAAGCATTTAGGAGGGTCTTCAGTTGCAACCGCTCTACTGGAAGAGTTCTGATCATTGCCCTTTGATTTGTAGTTGGCAGAGGAGGTCCGGAGTTTGTTTGATGAGTTACCTTTCTTTGGAAATCGTTTATTAAATTGATTAGTCAGCAGGGCCATTTTCTTTTGCAGTTCGGCCAGTTCTGACTCGACATCCACTTCCTCCTCACTTTCTTCTTCTTCAGACATCACAACAACTGCCTTCTTTTTCTTCTGAGCTTTGGACGAACTCTTGGGTTGAGCTTCCATCATTAGTGCTAATGGATTTCCAGAGTAGTTTCCTTCCATGTCAGCAGTGTCATTCACAAACTGTTGAAGGTGCTCATGCACAGTACACAGATCAAGTTCATCCAAATCCAGATGTTGACGCAGGTTCTTCACAGTTCTTTTCCATTCTGGTGGCAGGCTCGACAAGAAACGTATGTTCATTTCCATGTTTGATTTGACAACCTTGATCTTTCGCATCTCATTGATCAGTTGTACAAATCTGTTGTATGTTTCATGGAGCGCCTCACCAGGTAGAGCTTTAAATCCATCATAGGCAGTCAGGATGTTTGCCTTCTTTGTCTTTAAACCCAAATCAGTTCCAATCATCAGTTTTTAAATTTCATCCCACATCTCCTTAGCTGTCTCCATGCTATCAATCAATATGTATATGTCATTGGGAATAGCTTGGAGCATGTACGTTTTAGCCATTAGATCTGCTTTGACTCTTAGCCTGTCTGCTTCAGTGTACTCAGACTTTGCTTTCAACCTTCTTTCAACAGCAACTGGTGGATTGTTCACACCATCTGTTGTCACATCTACCCAAATTTGTGCTGGTCCTTCAGTAAGCGATTCCAGCATTGCAGAAGAGTTGTCCTTTCCTTCCAGAAAGTTTAAGAACCTTGTTTTCCACATCTGATATTCTCCTCTTCTCAAGATTGGGGGTCTGTTCTCATTTCCAAGTGCCAATGCTTCCATCTTTGTTGATTGAGCCTTAAAAGATCGATCGAGTGTTTTGATCAGAAAAAAATTTAAGATGCAGAATGTCGAAAACCTAATTCAAGAAAAAGTTCGAGAACTAGGGTTCGAGAAGTTCTATCGAGAACCAGTTTTTGATAGTGAATATCGAGAACCTGTTTATCGAGAAGCTGGATTCGAGAAGCTGTATCGAGAACTTCAGTATCGAGAAGCTAAGTTCGAGAACTTAGTTTCGAGAACTGAGTGTCGAGAAGCTGTGTCGAGAACCTGCAATTCGAAAAAACAGAGTTTTTAGATATTTAGTATCGAGAACTAAGTATCGAGAAAACAATCTCGAGAACTCAGTTCGAGAACTTGTATCGAGAACGTAGTATCGAAATCCTGCAAATCAAAAGTTCAGACTTAAACAGTTTAAACAACTTTTCTGTGAAGTTTTCGATCTCGAGAGTCTTCCTGTATAGTTTTCGTCCTGAAAAACCTGCTTAAATGTCGAGAACCCTGCTTTTCGAACTCATACTATCGAGAAATCAAAAATACCGAATCTACTGAAATCGAAAAGTAAGATATACCCTTGGTTCGTTTCTGAATGGCGAATCCAATGGTATAACTTTTACAGTTTATCGATCAGAAACAGGATTACAGTGATTACAAAGAAATATATCGAAAAGTATGAAAACAGAGAAGCTTCGAAAACTTTTCTTCGACGATCACACTCGAGCAGTCTCTGATACCAGTTGTTGGTCCCAGTTTATGCAGACTAACACTCACAGCTAGATGGATATCATCGAATAACTGAAAGGAACGATCTCACAGAATGATTTATGAGCTATCGAGAACTTTGAGATCGTGTTTCTATTATATCGAGAAGAACTTTAGCAGCGTAAGGCTAGAGTGGATTGATCGATTGATGTCTTACGGTACCTGTACACAAGGCGCATATTTATAGGCGCTGTACAGGTTACCGATTTAGGTAAACCTTGGAAGTTGGGCCAAGGCCTTTTTGGGCCTTATTCCCTTTACCTTATTTATTACATATTAATACTAATCTAATACCATAACCGGTATAACTAGTCTACTTTATTAAACAAGACTTAACAGACAAACTTGACCCACAATAAAAGTTCTAACAAAAGCACGTAGCATTACGGGTCCTCCAAAGCCAATAGATGGAATAGCATAAAGCGATCCTAGCCGCCTTTAAATAGATCTTTACTTTATACAATGAGTATTTTTGTTACATACCCTCAAATAGTTTTCAAATTCTCGTATAACTAGTACTCCGTATTTAATATTTTTTTAACTAAACTTAACAAGTATTGAGTTCTTAGTATTTTGATTTCTTAAATTTCCCTTATTACTAGTTACTAATATAAATATATACTTCAGGGTAATTATTTTTAAACAATCTTTTGTCATATTTTTTACATTGGCCCGCGGGACAACCCGTTTAACCATCAGGTTAGGTGGGTCGGGTAAGGATTGTAAAAATTCTGACCGTCACTAAACGGGTTGGCCCGACCCAACCCACATAAAGTATAAACCATCACGGGTAGGGTTGGTTTGGGTCGAGTGTACCCTTTTGATCGCTAGTAAAAAAAGGATGACACCTCATCCCCAACACTGACTGGACGACAGTAAATTGGACGGATGTAAATTGGACTATAATGGTACAATTGAAATAGAGAGTGAGTTCCTTTCCGGGTAGGCCCTGTGAACCCGGATATCGCACTCCTCTCTACCATTCAGAACCTCAAATTGAAATTTCCACTGCCTTCTTCAAATCCGATCTCAGACTGTTCAAAGTGGCAAGAATGAAGAGTTTCGGTAGGTTGATATCGCAGGCCGCTCTCGGCCGTAGCCTCATTAGAACCTACGCGGCGGAAAACGGAGGTCTTCGAGCGTATTGCCGTCTTATATTCGCTCCTACTTCAACGAAAGTGATATCTTCTCTCTCCGGCTTGTCTTCTTTGAAGTCATCATCTCTTCCTTCCTCGCTGCACTTGTCTCCATGGGCAACGATCGGAGGTCAGTTTTCGAATAAATAAATAAATTCCAAGTTGAATTGAGGTTTTTTTAAGGTCTCTATGCTTTGAAGATGAACAATTGCAGTGATTTAGGGCTTCGAAATTACTTGGAAATTCCATTTCGTGAGAACTTTAACCTGTATTCATTCATTATATTAAGTTGTAAAAACTATGAAAGAGAGCTGCTTGACTGCTTCAGTTATTTAAATTTTGTTCTAGTAGCTAGTAGATGAGAAGTACTCTTTCAGTTCATATAATCCACGTAATTATTTCCTTTTTCATTGTACATGTGAAGAAGTTTACATTTTTGTGTTGGGATTGAGCTCTAATCTCTTACCACGGAACAATTTTGGTTGAAGTAAATCATAAATTTAGGTGTATAGCATGTTAAACCTAAGGCAATTCTTCCATCTGGGTAAACTAATGATACTGCCATGGACAGGCCAAAGGAGATCCATGTTCATACAAACACAGTCTACTCCCAACCCATTGTCACTAATGTTCTACCCCGGAAAGCCAGTTATGGAGACTGGAAGTTCAGATTTTCCAAATGCTCGTTCTGCAATGACTTCACCACTTGCTAAGGCTCTGTTTGGAATTGACGGTGAGCTTGTTCTCTTTATATTTGTAACCTTGGATGTCATCCTTTTCATGTTTTCAATCTTCATATTACTACTCCGTATTTACTAAAGGTGTGACTATTGTCTCCCAAAAAGGCCAACATTATACTTCGTATGTTGTTTTCCTGTAAATTGTCAAGCCTACATTAATTTATCATTCTTATGCTTGATGTGTGTCATTGGAGATTATTTTTTTACCACAGTCGACAAATGTGATCTAAGTGGCATTAGGTGTGAAAACCATAGTCGTTCATGGCTAGTGTAGCGCCTAACGGGGATTATGTGAGTTGGGCATGTATTTTTATAACAACGTTACAAAGAATATCATTGTAACATGAAGTTGTAATATGTAATGCGCTGCAGTTTGTATTACTAATTATACTAATCAATAATGCCGATTGCCGTGTCAAATTGCAAATTAGTTGCTGTGTTCTACTATAGATGAGGATATGTAGTAGACTGGTAGATAACCGGTGCAAAGGGACATTAATTATCAGTTTACAACTCCTAATCTCCTATATTTTAGTTAAATAACTGGGATATTGTTATAGTAGGACAATCTGTCATAGTTTAGGCTATGACAAAGTTGTTGTATTTGAATCAGGACCGTGTGTAAAGTCATTATACGAAGTATAACTTACGATAGTATATAATATGTTAATCTCTTCGTCTCCTAAGATTCTCCCATCTTTCCTTTTTTATCCGTTCTAGATTGTCTCATATCAAATTTAGTAACGATTCGATATCAACCACATAAACTGACTTTTCTTGAAAACCGCACCACCTCTGCTTGTACCAATGTTAGGGTACGGAGGTAGTATCATTTATAATCAATACAATCAAGCAATTCAATGAAATTAATCACAAATCTGTGACAAGGAGTCAAGGAAGAGACCCTTCTGAGGTAGTTTTTTAGGCCTTTTCAAGAACTGTGCTGCCACATGGCCCATATCCCAATTACCAAGTTCCTAACCATGCTTATGACAATTGCATACCCCAAACTAATAAAAATTATATCATATACAAGTGTGAACAGTTCTTCTATGTACTAAATAGTACTCCCTTCGTTCCGTTTTGGTTGTCCTACTTTCCTTTTTGGGTAGTCCCAAAATGAAAGTCTTTTGGCAAGAAATATGTGATCATTATAATTTCACTTCATTTTATTCAAATCTCAACCACAACTTTTATTTGTCAACCACTTTATTAATAATTGTGCCGAACTAAAATAGGGCAACTAATATGGGAAGGAGGTAGTAATACTAATTATTTCATGCATATTTCTCACAAGTAAACTATATGGCTAATTAGCACTTCTTCACTCAGACTTCTCTCAGTCCAAGACTGGACCAGATTAAACAAGCTATACAAAACCAGCCCTAAATACTACGGAGCAGTAAAATACATATAATCAAACCACTAAGGCACTAACATATCATACTAATTCAAACCAGAACATTCAAGTCCTGATGAACAGGTCCTTAAACTGACTTCATTGACAATTTTTAGTCATTATGCAGGGATAACTAGGGTATTTTTCGGATCTGATTTTGTAACCGTTACAAAATCTGATGATGCAACTTGGGACTTGCTTAAACCAGAAGTTTTTGCAGCAATAATGGATTTCTATGCATCCGGGGACCCTCTTTTTCTGGATTCGAACACTGCATCCACCATGGACACAGCTATCCGAGAAGATGATTCAGAGACTGTTGCAATGATTAAGGAACTTCTTGAGACACGTATACGCCCGGCTGTACAGGATGATGGTGGGGATATCGAGTATAGAGGGTTTGATGAAGACACTGGAATGGTCAAATTGAGGATGCAAGGAGCATGCAGTGGATGCCCTAGTTCCTCTGTTACCCTCAAGTCTGGGATTGAAAACATGCTGATGCACTATGTGCCCGAGGTAAAAGGGGTAGTACAGGAGTTCTATGAAGATGATAACACGGCCTTAACTGGAGCCTCCCATGAGTGACTTTTGCTTTTTGAGATGCATTTTTTTTGGCTTCATGTGCAGGAAAATTAGTAGGATCTTGAATTATCATCAAATTTATTTACTTGCAGGGTATCTGCCTTGTGGTGACTGATGAAAACGGCCTGTATAATAATTATTGATGATTCTTCCTTTTTCCAAAATTTAGCACGAGAGTTTTATAGGATTGCACCACCTGAAAGTCTGAAACTTGACATGTCTTTTAATGACAGACTTATGTACATAGACTATATCGTTACCCGTGCCGTGCACGGGATAAAATGATTCTGTGTTTTAGTTCTGGCATGTGTTTATGGGTTATTATAACAAATGGAAAATCGTGTATATATCTATTGGATTATAATATTGATAATACATATTTTTATTTGTTGAGAACGTCTTTTTTTTTAAAACTAATTATATAAACATATCCTCGGTAGTGTATGTCCCTAAAGATGATTATGTAGGTATTTAATACGTTGATTATGGAACACCATGTGAACTCTTGTATAGTAACATGAATCATTGAAATCAGGAGATGCAGTATTACAAAAGTACATGTACGTCAGTTTTGAATGAGAACATGATATTATATGACTTTGCGCGCAATGAGAGGTTCTAGGTTTATTCCTATTCATTAGTATAACCAATAACTCTCGAGACCTTTGTAAAAACGGAAGTTGAACTTTACCTTTCATGCAACACAATGAGAATTCAATATTGTTTGATCTTGAAACTTTGTTCACTCACTCTTCATACCACTCATTGGTATGAAGACATGAAGAGTTACTCTTGAGGCATTTGATCTCAAGAGTAGTAGTGGGAAATCAATATTATTTGATTTTGAAACTTAGTTATCTCACTCTTCATACAACATATTGGTCGTACAATTGTAACAAATGAACGAAGAGTCTCTCAAAACTACAATTTCTGCTTAGACCTACAGTTCATATGCTTACAATATGTAGAGTATAATCTATATATCATAATAATTTTCAACATCGAATGCATTTATTTATGTTCATGATGTAATCATATTTTTAGTGGATATGAATCTTCAATTTCTAATAAATAGAGTTGAGCACTTGTGTTTTGCATATATAATACTATGAATTGGAACAAAGCCTTTGAGATGGATATATCCACATCATCTTTTTTATCTGAATTTGATATCACTAATTGATATGACATAGTTTGGGAGGTGCACCTTTGATTTTACATCAATTTCGTTTATTAGAAGTTGTATACTTTCTCCATTTTTAAATAAGTGGAAAATGTTGAATTTTACACTATTAACACGTTTTTACTATGATTACGCTTTATTTATTAATGTATTACATAGTAATAATTTTTTTTAAAATAATAATACGACCTCTGGTCCCAAATAAACTTCACCGTACACTTTCCTTTGGGGCAAGTCCAGAATAAACTTCAAAAATCTATATTTGGTAAGTTTTTAATAAAAAGTTACTCTTATACTATCTTTACTTTATTGCGCACTTCAATGTGAGAAATTGGCCATTGCAATTAATTATTTAAGAACGAATGACATATTTTTTTTAGAACGTGAATTTTGACTTAAAATTAGGTACTACATCTCTATCAAATTACATAGTCATCTCTTAAATTTTGGAACATAATTTTAATTAGAATAATATTCTAGAAGTTATAAATTTTGTACTTTTATAAAAGTACTTTTAACAAAGAATATTTTCATTTAAATTTTATATCTCTAAAAATGATGTTTGGACATGTGCCTAGAAGACTGAGTGATGCACCTGTCGGGCGTGTTTAGATGTGTGGAGAAGAGGCAAGGGTAGAGAGAGAGAGAGAGAGAGAGAGAGAGAGAGAGAGAGAGAGAGAGAGAGAGAGAGAGAGAGAGAGAGAGAGAGAGAGAGAGAGAGAGAGAGAGAGAGAGAGAGAGAGAGAGAGAGAGAGAGAGAGAGAGAGAGAGAGAGAGACCCAAAAAGACGTGGGTTAGGGGAGTCTGAAGTGATATGTCTCTTCTTGAGTTGGATGAGAGTATGGCTTTGGAGAGAGCAAAGTGGAAGGCGGGTATTCGTGTGGATTAGTGATCTCGTATTATTAATATCCCTCATCTTTTTCTTTTTATTTTATCATTTTTAGGTATATTCATCTCTTTTTATATTATCTTTTTATAATAGCTTATCTTTTTATCTTTATTTTCTTTCTTTTTCTTTTGGTGGTGGTATCATGTATCGATTCATGTTAGCCGACCCCCATATCTTTTGGGACTAAGACTGAGATGTTATTGTTGTATCTCTAAAAATGTTGATTGGTGGTTCATAGATTCTAATTGATATCATTATTGTTTCTGGAATTCTTTTAAGTTTCTTGACACTCAAAAAGTTTGAGAATGTGCACTTATAATTAAAATTATGCACTACCTTAGTCCCCAAATACTACTTAGCAATCTCTCAAAGTTTGGTACATTTTTTATACATTTTTAATATAAAGTTATCCTTATACTATATTTACTTTATTATGCACTTCAAATGTGAAAAAATGATCGTTGCACCTTTTTAAGAACATGATTTTTTTACAAAGTGCGCTTCGAGTGAAATTGGAAAGTTTTGGATTGGAAAAGCCTTCCCAATTGCGATTGAGCTCGTGTGATGACTCTGTTTTTTGACTTATCAAACTTATTATTTAACTTTTTCATCAAAGTAGGGTTAAAATTACTTTTGTATTTGTATTAATTGAAATTATTGTAAAGGATCATTTTAGCTATTTTCATACAGAGTATTTTTTTTCTTTATTTATTAATAATAAAAAATTATTTTTTTGTCATAAATCAGTAGAATCAGTCAATCCAAAGTTCAGTTAGAACATCATAAATTTCAGCAGAATGAACCGATCCAACCAATTCCAATGTTAGTACCAAATTATGTGTCATCATCTCAATTATTTTGGTGACATAAAAAAATTTACTCATGAATACTTTTAAAAACTATTTTTTAAAATCATGAATATGAATATGAATTTATGCAATGAATTCATTTAACTCTATAAGTTAATGTTTCTAAATAAAGGTAAGATGTGTTTAATAGTTCCAAGCGGCCAACTTCTTAATAAGATTATTGACCTAAAATAGAATCGCATAACCTGTGGTATTGATTTTTCGATATTTAAACTGCACCCATAAAACTTTAATAATATCACTATACTTGAAACTCAAATGTTCATAAATCATCATATGGATCATACTATATGTGAGTAACATATCAATTATATAGACATTATTCATACTTACTCAATTATCTTAATTAGAAATATAGAATATAATGACATATTTTAATCCATAGATATATGCATCTTTCTTAGTAAATATCTAAAAAGTTGACATTCAAAATAAAATTATTGATATTCATACATTTTTAAATTGAAAAAAATATTTAAAATAAGATTTTTTTTATCGTCATTAAAAATAAGATTTTCAAAACGATACTTAGTTTACATTTGTAACTTAAGTTAATTTATAATAGCTTTTTATTAATCATAATATCACACCATATATGCATTACAAAGAATGCTCAAAATATTATCTCTCGCATTTCAAAGGATAAATTCCTAAAATGGGAAAAAAGATGAAACATCATTAAATGAAAGTGAAAGGATTAAAATAGCAAGACTGCATGTGTTAAAATTGGGTACATACGCATTTTCCTGAATAATATATCAATATTATGTTCACCTTTCTAATTAAGGATATTTACAATTGGAATCGAATTTTATCTCATTTATGAAAGTAAAAGTTATTTTTTATTTGTGTATATATTAATATAATTTTGATATATTTTGGCCGAGGATTTCAGCTCTCAAAAAGTTTTATTAATTACATACTACTTATGTCATGATTACTTACACAATAATTAAATATGATAATTTGACTATATTTTACGAAATAATTGTGATGATTATATAATATGATGGGGGGTCCTTGATGATAACTGTGATGTTGTAGATATTTTATTTTTAAGGCTAAAGAGTCAAATAGGCCTTCGAACTAACTTAAAATTTGCAAATCACCCCTTATATAGGAGGCTCTGTCCAGCCGTCGCCATTAAGGACGGTTCTCGGTGGAATTTTTGATGAAATTTTTTAAGCATTTTCTTCAATTTTTTATACATTTTTTTATTAAAGTTACCCTTATACCCTCTTACTTTATTACGCTCTTCAAATGTGAAAAATTGACCGTTGTAGTTCTTTAAGAAAATGTTTTTTAGAAAGTGCACTTTGAGTGCAATTGGAAAGTTTTGGAGAAGCCTTCCCAATTGCAATTGAGCCCGTTTGAATTGATGACTCTATTTTTTGACTTATCAAACTTATTAGTCAAATTTTTCTAGTAGTTGAAGTTATTGTAAAGGATTATTTTAACTATTTTCATACGTTTTTCTTTATTTAATTAATAAATTTTTTCTTTATCTATAAATAATACGTAGTTGTTGACATTTTAGAAAGCTTTTACATCAATTGTGACTTTCAAGGAATTCTAATTTTGTTAAATTGTAATCAAACGTGGATTCCTAATTTCTAGGAATCCTAATTGAATCGAGCAAAAAAAAGGAATCCTAATTGTAATCTACGAAAAAGTTTTTGAGAATTAGGAATTCTAATTGTAATCTACGAATAAGGGTTAGGAGTTCTAAATAGATATATTTCTTAAAGTGTTGAATTATTTTTCAAAATAGATATAAAAAACTGTTAAATTATTTTTTTATTTTTATATATTCAATATTGGTCTCATATGAAAGATAATGAAAAGTTATAAAATATGGTATATTTTTTGTAACTATCAAAGTACAAATAAAAAAGTTATAGCACTTTAAAATAAAATTGAGATTTAAATTTTAACTTACCCAACTTTAGGACGTGATGAAGTGTAACCTACCTTTAATACTAATTAACGGAAGTATAATTTATTTACTAAAATGGAAAGAAAATCTAAAATATTATAATGAAAGTTTGCTTAGAAGATGACACATGGCAAAACTTTCCCTAATTGTATCTTTCAAATGTATTATCTATAGATTATAAGATACTGAGTAGGGCTGGACTCGGTTCGGGCCGGGCCCGGTTCGGGCCTTGAACCGGCCGGGCCTCGGTTCACCAAAAGGAGGGCCCGGGCCCGAACCGGCAGGTGACCGGTTCCGGGCCGGTTCCGGGCCGGTTCACCCGCCCCATTTTTTTTTTTTTTTTGGCTTCTCTTGTTTAACCCCCTACCCCTCCCCCTCAACCCCAAACCACCCCAAACCACCTCAAATGGCCCAAAATACCTAATCCAACCCAAAAATTAGAAAAATTTCAAAAAAAAATTAAAAAAAAAAATTATTCCGGCCCGGACCGGGCCCGAACCGGCCGGGCTGGTTCACCAAATAGAGGGCCCGGGCCCGGAACCGGTATCCACTGGGCCGGTTCGACCCGAACCACCGGTGGACCGGGCCACCAGGCCGGGCCGGTTCACACAGTAACCGGGCCAGTTCCGGTTTGGGCCGCCCGGCCCGAGTCCAGCACTAATACTGAGTATATTATATACGACAGTACTCTCTATATCCCCTTACGATTGCCTTATTTTTGCATTTTGATCCCCCTATTATTATAGTCACATGAATAATTTCAATTTATAATTATTAGTTTTTACTATCAAATTGATATTAATGACATAAATTCATTTTTTTTAATAATTGTACCACTGTCTCATTTATCTAACATAGGAGGCAGAGGTAGCGTTCACTATGGGTCTGTTTGGATGCCGGGCACAACTCTAGAGATAGTGTTCACTACGTATTTAATAATTCTATATGACTATATCTTGATATCTTGATATCACGATGGGTGATTGAAATGTTACACTGCCACCTCATATGTTTTTTCTTTAATTTTATTTAATTTAAAAACCTCAATAACTCTTGACCTCTTGTAAATCAATATCAATATAAATACTCATCTATATAAATTTAGGTATCCTTACATTTGTCTAGCATGGAATTCGACGTTTTGTCTTTAATAGTGGTCAATTCTTAAAATTGACGGTCCAAGAAAACTCATATTACTACGAAGTCCGTTCCAAAAAACTTGTTCTAATTGATCTTTTTTGTTACTATATTATACTGTATTTGACTAAGAACATTTTCATTAATTTGAACAATGGAGAAAGCAATTAAGTTTGAGGTTACCAAAGTTGTGGTTTTGAATATCTCGCTTATTCTCGCCTAGCGTTTTCTCGCATGACTGCCGCCGCATGTGGGAAACCTGAAACCCTTGAAGGGTGAGCCACCGTTTGGAGAGGAACGGCGAAGACTCTTGTCCGTCTAAGCTTAAAATTAAAAATGTAAGGACAAGATGAGTATTTATATTGATATTGATTTACAAGAGGTCAAGAGTTATTGAGGTTTTTAAATTAAATAAAATTAAAGAAAAAACATATGAGGTGGCAGTGTAACATTTCAATCATGCACTAGTATGAGTGGTGTTTTCTTCCCTAGGAATTCTTGGGTTCTTCACTTCTTCTATCAATTTTGATAGTGGTGTTATGGATGGTTTCTTCTCAAATTAATGAGGACGAAATTTTGCTGGCAGAGGCTACGGCGTCAAGGGCTGTGAATGGGATCCGAGCGATGGAGGATGAAGATGAAGTGATGATGATTCGGGCCCCCTGAACCGCCGCCATGGAGGATCTGTGAGACTAGGGTTCCCGTCGCTGTCATGGGTCATCTGATCCATCGGTTTATCTTTTTTAATTTCATTTTATTCAGGTTTAGTTTTTTAATAAGGAACTCTGTTCTTATCATTTTTTTGTTAAAATTCATGGTACTAGGTTTTTTACGATGACTGGTGAGGTTTCGCCTAGATTGGATATGGTTAGTGGGGACGGATCTATTTGTTCAGTAAGAGATGCATTAAGCTCGTCTGGTGGTTAGCAATTTGTACATCCCCTTTAGGGCTGATCGTCTCTATTCTCTTTGCTTCATTACCTGGTCATAGGCATTCATAACGAACTCAGAGAAGCCTACCTCATCGGGGTTGAACGACTCGGGGAAATGTTTCTGGATCAGGTCAATATTGTCACCAAGCAACATGTCATGTGGCTCTTTTCAAGAGTATCCCGAGCAAAGGATATGTCAGATTGTAGAGCTATAAGTATTAGTTGGAAGGTGAAGGTTGTAGACTTGTAGTCAGTGTTGATCATTTGATATTGATGTAACGATCATGATTTGATATTTCCTCTTCAAAAAATTTGAACAATGATTTTATTTATTATACGTAATATATGACAAAGAATATTTTCATGAATCGTGGTGTTTTCATTTTGCGAATGTAATTTAATCTAATTCTGAGTAATTATATATTGCCACCCAAATCAATTCAAATGAGACCATTATTCTTCGACGGACATGGTCCAGGTTTGTTTAGGTAATAATTAAATTTTTCAAAAATTGTCGGTTTCATTAAACAGATAAATTTGATCTGGTTATACAACCTTCGAAATGGAAACTTAATACTGTTTGAAACGAGGCAATCCGCTAGGGATTCTAGGTTCTTTTTTGAAGAAAAAAAAAACGCACTGCTTCTCGCAAAATAATTAGCAAGTATAACACCATTAAAACATGAATTAGTTAACAAAATATCTATCCAAAATTCGTCAAAAATTAAATGAGTAATCACGTGTATGTCTAACAGAATAATTTAAAGTTTAATAAATCACAAAATGTATGTGAAACTAGAATAATAAAATGAATGTGTCATGCTTCGTCATTGAGTAAGAGTACGTATTTGCTTACAAAAGAGGTTAAGAGCTTAATTGGTAGCACAAAAATCAACTGATTTGGCTGATTTTGCTGAAATTTATGAAATTCTGACTAGAGTGGTTGCATTGGCTGATTCTGCTAATTTAAGAAAAAATTATTTTTAAAATATATTTTATTAATAAAATAAAGAAAAAATTATATGTAAAAATAGCTAAAATGGTCATCTACAGTAACTTCAGCCGATACAGCCAGAAAAGTAATTTCGACCTTACTTTTTCTGCTTATTACACAATTCAGCGCGCGAAAGCAAAAATTACGTGTTTGGTGTAAAAACTGACTGATAAGTTTGATAAGCCGAAAAACAGTGTTGCCAAACGGCCTCTAAATAAAATAACTTGATACATCTAGAATCGAAAATTGGATATAATAATTTAAAAGTTCATATGGATCAGGGGCATAGCGAGCAGGGGTAACCATGTTTCTGACCCAAACTAAATTTTAAAAATGTCTGATTTTTAGTGTAAAAATTCTGTGTAACTTTTTTTCAAAAATATTCTTTTACCGTTGCGGTGCTCCGCTCCTGATACCCATTCTTAAAACTTTAAAACCATTCTATTACTACCTCCGTCCCTAAATTTACTTCCAAAATAAAGTGGCATGCGGATTAAGAAAGTGAAAATTGTGTGGTGGATAGTTGTGCAGAGGAGAGAGAAATGTTGTGAACTACAAATTATTTGCCAAAAAGGGAAAGTGAAACTCTTTTTGGGACGGCCAAAAAGAAGTATTTTGTGGGATGGAGGGAGTATTAAATTACTTAAGACCTGCCTCACCCGCTCCATTTGAGTTTCTAATACTCCCCCCGTTCTGTAATATTAGTCATCTTAGGCTTTGGCATAGGTTTTAAGAAGAAAGTAGTAGATGTAGTGTAAAAGGTGTAATGAGTAGTGGGTAAATGAAAAAGTAGGAAAGAGAAAGGGGTAATGGTAATAAAAGTTGGGGTATAAAGGTATATTTAGAGCAAAAACTTTCCTTAAATGGAAAGGAGGACAGATAAAAAAAAACGTCCCAAAAAGGAAAGAATGACTAATAAAAAAGAATGGAGGTAGTATTAGAATTCATTCTAACCCGTCCAAACCTATATTACCCGATTCGAATTGCGATTCGTTTGCCGTTTATCCGCCCCCACTTTGACATAATCTAGAAAGGTAAAGAAAAATTATACCGAAGACAGATAAGAAAGAACAAAGTGTCCTAACAATAACTCCGTATTATGGAAGCAACATTAATTAGTACATGATGATGATGGTTACAACATACCATGAGGCAACAACATATTAATCAAAGCCCCCACCCCCACCCATCCACCACATACCAATTATCAACCAACTCCACAGCGCATACACTCCACATGATCCATCACCATCATCGGGTTGGACCAGCTGCCATACCTCTACACCGTCCGATCAACCCACCCATGCCTGAGCCGTTAGATCCTGTCAAGCTTCTCAGCCTTGACGATTGGGTTAGCCTTGGCTATCGCCTCCTTCCCCAGAGCTTTGTAATCGAACGTGCAGCCGTGTTGCTCCGGGTACCTGTGGGTCCCGCAATAGGCTATCCCGCACCTGCACTTGAACCCTGTCAGCCCGATTCGCTTCCGGCAGGTCCCACATCTGCGGAGGCAGAGCCACAAAATTAGTATCGGGATCAAAAATTAAATAAAACTTAATCAAGTTTTATAATTAGAACTTAATTATATTTCTTGGATTATGGAATATAATCTTAGGTGGGTCAATTGTTTTTTATTTCTATTTTATATTCTCTTTGAATAGATTCCAAATTGATATGATTGTTTTTTTCTTCTACTATCCACGTTCTATAATTCTTGCAACAGTTTTACTTTCACGTTTGCCAATGCACAATTTTGACTGTAATTATATTTATTTATGTATTAGTAAACATTATAAAAAGTTGATATTTTGAAAATTCACATTGATAAGAGTTCAATAACATTTTATACATAATAATTTGATTATGTATATTAGTAGAAAATTATGGTCAAAGTAAGATTTGTGAATAGTGTAAAAATTACAATGTTGCAAGAATTATAGAACGGAGGAAGTATATATAAATATATATATTCCTAAAAGAAATCAAAAAATTGACCGAAAGGATCACAAATTATCAAGGAATATGGATTAATTAGCATAAAACTCAAAATCCTAAAAGTGGGAGTAACTCATTGATTTCGTTCCTGGGATTTAATTTTATGGGGTTGGGGTAATATATACTTATGTAATTTTTTTGTACACAAACAATTGTATCACACTATCACTGCCAAATTCATGCGTACAAAAATGATTGAAGTGAAAGTAGAAGGATATAATAGGAAACTTTCCGAAATTTGGGTAAAAAAAAGTTTGAAAATTTCAAAATATAACTATCATGTTTTTAATTCAAAAATATAAGTAATTACTAACATGTTTGCAAAAAATTGTCGTGTTTAAAATCTAGTATCGTCAAAATATGACAATAATTATTTCTATTTTGAGAATAAAAATAATAGTCATATTTTACAATAGTCAAACATTTTTACCCGATATAATTAGAAGAAAATGCTAAAGGTATCCCAATTTGTACCTCAATTTGCACCCTGTCCTATTTTTGTGGCTCACAAAAGCACCTCATACAATTCATTTATTGAGTTGGACTTGTGTGAGCCACAAAAATAGATTGGGGTACAAATTGAGGTACCGTAGCTATACTAGGGTTGTAATTAGAATAGGAGAGTTAACTAAAAAAGTTTTTCATAGGGGCTATTTTGGGAGTGGGGCTAGGCGGCTAGCAGCTAGCTCCACCCATGCAGACCTGTTCGGCGTCGGGCCAGCTGGCGCAACCGCGGCTAATCCAGTCCCACCCTGCATCTCAACCTCTTTCGCCGCCGAATTTTCACAGGCCAGCAAAACAGAGGAAGAAGAAGACGGTGAAGCAGACGACGAAGAAGAAAAAGATTGGGATGATCTTTTGGCCGGGAGAGACAGCGACGATCCTTCCATCACGAGGTGCGCCTCTTCCATCTGCTTCTCCTTCACGCAATGATCCTTATAGCACTTCGAACACAGATTCAGAGTCGTGCTGCTCCCGAAAAACCCGCAATTGTTCGCGCAGAGCCGGTGCCCTCCTCCCGCCTGGTGACATTTCTGCTCCTCCGCCATTTTCGATGCTATAATCGGAACGATTACGAGATCGAATTCGAGTTTTTTCGCGAGAGCGGTTGATTTTTGGTTTTGGGGATGAAATCAAAATCAATCGCTCGGCGCAAGGAGAAGATCCGGATCGACCTGCGGCATATATGGGCAAATATTTATAACGAGGAAGATGAGATTGAGGAAGAGAGGAAATGGTAAGAGAGATGCTTACGTGAAGAATCAGAGAAGAAGAAAGATGGAGAAATGGAAGGGGGGATTAATGGTTGAGAAATGATGGCTGAAAATTTGGTGTTGGGGTGGGTGGGGTTATGATGGGGAAAGGCTCAAGAAAAGTATGCTTTGAGTTGTTAATTCAACTTTATTTTTGGTAACTTCTTTTTGTCGTTTTTTCTGGGTTATTCTTTGTTTATTGTGGTGGCTTTTATGGGTTATAAGCTCTTTTCTGGTTTTCCCCTCTCTTTCCTTTACAGTATTTGATTTAGTTATCTACTTTTTTGGGGAAACTGCTCCAAGAAGTTATGTGTTTTTTATACTCAATTTGATTATTGACCATGCAATTAAGATCCAATTAAGAATTTAGGTTAGAGTTTGGGAAAACCCATTATTGGAAAAGTAGCACTGAAATTTATTCTTTTGAATTTAGGCGGAAACGTACTTTTGAGAACTATGATATACGGAGTAAAAATGGTCAGAACATGTTTGGTAACCTTCATTTAGCTTATCAACCTTATCCATCACTCAATTTCTTTTATAACAAATGATACATTGGTGTGTTTCGAAAAACAAAGAAAATTAATTAATAAAAACTAATTAAATAAAGTGACTAAACGAAAAGCAGAAAATAGATGAAGTAGAAAGAGCCAAAGCTCGTGTTACGCACGATTTCCTTAAAACGTATTCGTTGTCTCTCGGGATGCTAGGAGCGTTGCAACGATCGTTTCCCAGGATACAATGACTAACGAGCAACCGTTTGAGCACTCAAATGATTGTTCCGGCGAACTGGAACAAGTATGAACACGGGAGGAAGTTTTCAGAATGCTGGAGGTGTTTTTGTGAGCTAATGAAACGTGCAGTTCGTTTGTGAGAGTGTTCTTTATTGCAAACCACCTGCAACCATTTATAGGGAAGATTTGATGGTGTGTATTAATGCTGTGAATGTTGGACATCAATGCCCAGCATGGCTGGCATTGATTCGTCCAAAACGTCCACAAGAACGTTGGCATTAAGGCTCATGGACGTTGGCAGTTAATTGTTGTAATGTCAACGTGCATGGAGCAAAAATTAAAATAAGAACGTACCAGAAGAAGAAAAGTTAACGTTAGCTTTAGAAGATAGATTTTTCGGACGACATTCGTGTCCGCAGGTCACCCGCGCACGCAAGTCGTGCTTTTTGTTTTCCGATTTTGGGATTTGATTCGCACCCCCCTGCGCGCGTGGAGAGAGTCTTTACCCTACGGAATCTTAACTCCTTAAGGGGGGTTCCCTTTATAAAGGGTTCAAATTCCCTTAGGTTTTACGGTGTGGGAAAAAACCACACTAGAAACCCATCATTTTCCTAGTTTTCTCCATTCCAACGAGTGAACTTCTAGAATCAATTTCTCATTCACCCGTTATCCGTTTTGAGCGTACCTGGCGGAGTATATGGCCCAGGGACCCCCGGGCCATAGACTCCTACTTCTCCTACACAGGCCCATCAAGCCCAATATGCACTCAAAGCCCTAATATATGGCGGCCCGAGTATGAAGAAGCCCACGATACACATACAGGTGCCTTCGGCCCTATAGCCGAGGGCTCCAAATTCCACAAGGCAGCTTCATTTGAGCATACAACGCTACTGGGGGGAAAAGGCAGAAAATGGGAGCCTTCGGCTCCGAGGAGCCCTCAGCACATGGGTAGCCTTCGGCCACACAGAGCCTTCGGCTACAGCACAATCAACGAATATTCCCTTTGGGGACCGGCAACCACCGCATTTAATGCGGTGCACATGCATATGCCGGTATCACCCCGATTGAGGTGACCCTCGGCCGCTAGATTATTGACACGTGTATTCATATCGCATTTATGGCTGTTATAAATTGCAACTCCTTTCCCCTTGTAAACGAGCCCAAGATCCCAAGTTCATTTAATATACTTGGCTCTCTCTTTTGTTTGCTCTGACTTCTCTCTAGGTTATTCCCCGCAATAACCCCTCGGATAAGCTACCTCCCGGGTAGGCTATCCATCTATTTTGAATGGACGTTTGAGCAATATCAATGCCATATGTAGAATTGCTATAACATAAATCTAAATAAAATGGTTCAAGTCTATACCAACAGTAAATAAGATTACCAACGGTTAGTGTAGTGTTGGTACAATTTAATGAGCTATTCCAACGGGCAATAAATATGTTGGTTTTGGTCTATACCGACGAAACATATACCAACACCCAAATTTCTGTGGGAATTGCATTCGCTTCCGTTGGTATAGCCAAATGATGTCTATACCAACGGTTTTATATATTTATACCAACAGTTTTCTTACCGTTGGTAAATGACAATTTGTTTGTAGTGAAGTGATCAAACCATCATTTTTTACTGAAACGCCATTTATCAAACACCTCCATAATGTGCACATCTCATTTAAAAAAAGGTGATCGCCAACTTTTCTTATAACTAACAAGATAACAAAAGCACATAACCATGCTGCAAATCATTCATTTATTGTAACATCTCATTTGTACATAGCAACAAATCAGCAAATTGATGAAAGAGATAGAGTTGTGTGTTGAAACAAACTTCTTCACTATTTGTTATTTTTTAATTGTAACACTTTTACTTCACTATTTGTCAATACATAACTTGACCGCTAGTATATTTAACTCGCTATTGATAAAATATTTGTTTTTTGAAAAGGCTATTAATAAAATACTAAAATTAGTTTTCGAAATATCAAAATAAGACAAATATAACTACATTTTCAAAAATTAAATTTCCGATTCATTAATGGGAAACGGATCAAATAAACTTTTCTACTGTTTTCAGTACATCACTTAAACTCTTCTACTTAAAAAGTATCATACAAGTACGTTTTCATTTAAAAAAAATCAATCAACTTGACCATTAAATCAGTTTTTGACTTGTACTAGCAAGTTTTATATTAAAAAAACTTTAAAGACTTTAAAAATTGTTAAAATTGGAAGGAAATTGATAAAATTGTGAAAACTAAATGTCAAAACAATTTTTTTATTCTTATTTGAATATTCTACATCTATTTAACAGGTTTTTACATTTATTATTGTATGTTTTTACATTTCTACTTTATTTTCGGTTTTTTTAATGTTTTTAAATTATTTATCTATTTTTATATTTAAGATCTTTTTATATTAGTACTACACTATTTTTCAAACTTATATGAATTTTACAAGATTTATCAATATTCATAATTTATTTTTTAAAAATAATTTGCTTTAACATATCAAAATGGCTTCATTGATTATATTTTAAAAGTAAGTGCACATAGCTTATATGATGTATTTTTTAGTAGGACTTAAGTGATGAATTGAAAATATTAGAAGGTTCTATTTGACCATTTTCCTTTCATTAATAGATAAATATGTAGTCAAAATAAAGCATGAGAATCGATTAAAATTCAATATGTTGCAATTATGTGTGACAATTATTCAATAATTTGACACACATTAATTTTTTTAGGAAACCCTTTTTTCTAAATAAACAGAACTTTATTAAAAGAGAAATGGAAAGTACACGGAAAAAAAAGAAGGAAAAAAATCATAGCAAAAAGGAAACAAACTAAACTTAGATCTGAAAAGTAATACCCAACCCATAGTATATCAGGAAAGCCCTCTGCCCTCTCAAACTGATCTTCAATCCTAAGCTAAATCTTCATAACTATGCTCGTGTTTTAGATCTAGTTCTCATAAGATGCGTTCGTTGATTCTTTTTTTTTTGTAAATTTTTTTTTAGGATGTTCAAATTCAGAGTAGGCACACAATTTTATCCCGTGACCAATAAAACTTTTTGACAAATACCTCATTTGCATTTGAATTCCAAAGATTTTTCAGTGTCGAAATGTGAACCCTTTTCTCATTCTCAGAATCTCCGATACATGATCACTAAATTCATCCCCTGAAGATATAGGGTTCGGACTACCAAAAACTCTCTCACAGTCAAAAAATTGTCGGTAGGATCTGGATTTACACCACTGATGAACACCAGAATCTAAAAGTCCTATGCCGTTATGGCCATCTTGTTCTAAGGGTCTGTTTGCAACAGCTTCTACTTTTAAAAAAGTGCTTTTTTTAATGAAATGGGGAGAAGTGATTAAGGGAGTTTTTGCGATTGCTTCTACTTTAAAAAAGTGATGTTTTAAAGTGATTTTGGAGAAAGTACTTAATAGTAAAAGTTGGTAGTGTTTGAGAAAAAAGTGATTCTGAAAAAGTAAAACTTGGTAGTGTTTGGTAAAATAAGTACTTTTTAAGTAATAGAAAAAGTGAAAAGCAGTTTAAAGCACCCTTCCACCTGCTTCCAGCTTTTAGCTTTAAAGTGATTAATTTAAGCAGAAGCTCTCATTTGAAAACACTCTTTTCAGCTTTTTTTAATCCAAAAGCTCAAAAGCACTTTTTTTAAGGAAGTGCAAACACTCCTTAAATAAAAGTTGGTAGTGTTTGAGAAAAAAGTGATTTTGAAAAGTAAAAGTTGGTAGTGTTTGGTAAAATAAGTGCTCTTTGTGTAATAGAAAAAGTAAAAGGACTTTTGACGCGGAACCGAGGAAAATAAAAGTTGTAGGGCATGTTTGGCACAACAAGCTGAAAAGATACTTTTGTGAACTTTTTAATAGCTGTTAGCTTTTAGTGACTGAAAAGATCTTAAAAATAAAAGTTGGTAGCTGTTTGATGAAAAGCTGACTGTTTGATTTAGTTCGGTTTGGTATACAAGCTGTTAGGATTAATTAATACTAAAAGTCACTAGCTTTTCTTAGATGCTACTCCCGGTAGCATCTCAAAAAAGATCTTTTAATTTTTGAAAAGCTCTTAAATATTGTCATGCCAAACACACAACTAGAAGCTTTTAGGAACTTTTTGAACAGTACAAAAGCTAGAAGTCAGAGACTTATGCCCGCCAAACATAGCCGTAGTGTTTGGGAAAATAAGTGCTTTTTTAAAGCCAAAAGCTGAGAAGTGTTTTTTTAAAAGGAGTTGCAAACCAACTCTAAAGCATTCTCTGTTTTAGAGGATTTTCCATTAATTATATGATGATCTCATGTTTAACTTTTAAATACTCAATAAATGAATTTCACTTACGTATCTCTATAATATCCACTACTTCTAAGTTCTACTCCGTAATATCTCTATAATAACCACTG